AAAATTTAGTGATGTATAGAATAAAAGCCATAAAAGTAATTTTTCAGCAGTTATTGCTCAAAGTGAAGTTTTTTAATAAAAAGTGGGCCAGATTCCAAGGTCAAAATTGATGACACACAAGGAAAGGACTTGTCACAAAAATAAGCATTTAAATATGAAAGCCCAAGCTCCAACTTTTCAAAATTTATGGACACATTAAAAGTTTTTATAAACATAGGTAATCAGAGATTACAGAGCTCACCTCAAGGAATGTTTGTCTTTATCTATGTAAGGCAAAGTTACACATTAAACTAATACCAGTAATTTAAAAGTTTACATCACAAAATGTAAAATTTATGCAATTTTGATCTGATAGGGATTGCAATTACCTGGGAAATAGACTTACTTAAAAACTTCTAACTAGTAACCCGTCAAGAAAATGTATTATGCAAATCCAGCAAGTTTGGTTAAGATGGGCCTTATAGTTTATTGGTAATGGACCTGCACCCAAAACTTTAATCTGGTCCATTATCTGGAAAATGTATGCCAGGTTCAGCATTTAAAGCAAGTCAATTAGTGTGCATCCTTAGATATGTCACCTATGCAAGTTTGCTCAACATGGCCTTCATAGGGTTCATAGTTACTTGGAAATGAAATATGCACCAAAAACATTACCCTGTTTACTCACCTGGAAAATGTAGGTCAGATCCAGCATCCGAAGCAAGCCTGGTAGTATGCATCCTTAGATGCATCACCCATGCAAGTTTTGTCAACATAGGACTTGGAAATGAGACCTTCACCAAAAGCTTTAACCTGTTAACCTGCTTCAAAAATGTTAACCTTGTCATTCCTTTGGTGAAATTGCAATATCATAAACCTTGACTAGAAGCATATATGCATGTCTGATCAATGTAAGTACTTAAAAAGGTTACTGAACCGAAATCCTTAACCTGGGATGCCCACACCAAGTTACATAAACTCCCCCAACTTGGTTGAGGTGAGCTAAAATTAAGTAAAAAACCCTAAATTTAACCCCCAAGGACTTAACCCTCATGGGCCTCTTCATACCTCAAAGACATCAATTGTCAAATTAAGTAACAAGCAAAATGTACGTATATCATTTATTTACAGCCATGAGATGCACAATACATGGAGATGCATGATACAATGCACATGATAATGAATTTAAAATGTACAGCAAAATTATCTACTATTCTGAAAAGTCCTAAAAATACAAATTTTCTTTACAGCTTTTTCTCCAGAGTATGACAACATTCACTTACCATATTGTGCATGAACTTTCAAGGAGTCTCAAAAAAAAATTTGGGAAAAAGCATCTCTAACCTTAAAGAAAAAATAACAAAAAAAAGTTATTTTTCTGTATTAACAATATTTGAATGGCTACTGCGCCCCTGAAATTTTACCCCCTTTGACATTTTTGCTTTTGAACCGTCTTAATTTTCATCAGAACTGCTGGCAGATCCGAAGATTTCCTCTTCCTCCTTCTTAGCCCGGTCACTCTCGCTGCCCCGGTCACTCTCACTCCGCGCTGGGGAGGGACTTCTGCTGCCACTCCTGCTGCGACTGCGCGACGATCGACTGCTGCTCCGGCTGCCACTCCTGCTGCGTGACGGACTGCGGCTGCCACTGCGTGACCTTGACCTTGACCTGCTGCGACGACTTCCACTGGATTTGACACTTCCTGCCTCACTCCCACTGTGGAATTCTTCATCTAAAATTAAATCAGAAGTTATCAATTACTGTTTTTTGGAAAGCTATTATAAACAATTATATTTTTTATAGTCACTGTATAAACAGGTTATGACTATTTTATAGTTTAGTTATGGAATACTTGACTATTTTTCATCAAATATTCCCAATTCTTATGCATTAAAGCCAGACAACTGATCTACTGTCATATAATTAACTAATGAACAAATGATTAATTAACTGGGTAACTAACCTGATCCTGCCAGCTGCTCCTCCTGTACCTCTTCTTCTTCCTCCTCTTCTTGTTGAGGCTCTAACATCGTCAGTCGAGCATTCTATCAGTCAACATAATATACATTAATTGGGATTAAAAACAATTTTATTGTATATTTATACAAATTGCTATAATATGCATTATAAAACTTAAGTCTTCCTTAATAACTCTTAAAATTCTACCATAAAATCAAGAAAGAGTATTACATTTCATTTAAACATAAAGAATAATCAAAAATAAAAACACATTAAGAACTCAATTAAAAACATTGATGCATTTGGCACTATAATGTAATGTACAACGTAATTGTAAACGAAGGCTACAGAATGCTGATTTACCTGTGCTGCTATTTCCCTTTCATTCAGTTCTCTGTGTTTAACAATTAAACGTGACTTTGCCATCTGGGCACCTCCCACCTTTCTTCTCTTACTTAAGCGGACCCTGAATTTAATGAAAGTCGCATCAAAACCTACAAGTCAGCTTTATCTCCTTTGTGCTTCCTTACATAAGGGCAACTTACATGAAAACTCCATAAAGAAGGACAAAACTCTCATTAACAACCTAGTTATCACATGTATGAGTTACAATTTACCTGGTTTCCAGCTCATTGTAATACATTCCATCCTCCCTGAAGACAAAGAAATATGTTTCCTCATATCCTCTGGAAAGTTTGTTTTTAACATTCCAGTTGTACTCCCTGGCCAATGTGTAGTCGTACCTAAAAATAATAATAGTTAGTAAACCTAAGATGCACTTTATCCTTAGAATCTGACCTCATTTATTCAAAGTTATCAATCAGCGCAAAAAAGTGTGACCAAAATTAATCTATAATCTTGGAGCCTTACTCATCGTCAGCATTGTAATCAATGCCCTCCTCTGCGTCTCTCTTCCTCTTGTTTAGAGTCTCCTCTGTTGGCAAGAAGTAGGCTACAAACTGCTCATTGTTTTCATCTACCGCACCTCTGAAAGAGAAATAAAGAAATGCAATATGTACTGCTAAATCAAACTCAACAAAAAAGTTTTCAATAAGTAAAAAATCAATGTTATGCTCAGCTACTGCATGCATGTTGTCATTTTCCCAACAATTTGTTTATCTGATATAACTTAATGTAAATTGAAAATTGAAACATTGTTTAAATAAAAAATTTCACATAAGTTTCATCTTTTCTAGACCCAGTGGTTCTTGAGAAGATTTTTGAGAAGACATCATTGACTTTTCATTAATTCTTACTTATTCTCATTAAAAAAGGAATTGGCATTCATTTGGAGAAATTTCAATCCTCTTTACTTAGAATACTTTGTGGCAAATTTGCAGGTCTGTAAGTCTCGTTAACTTTCACTTTCGTTTTCTAACTTCCGGGTACTTGAGCGTTCTTGGAAACAATGGATTACCAGTTGGCATTTAGTTTTAAGCCTCGCGGTGGACTAGCAGAGCCTCATGTCGTTTGTTTCCCGATTATTGAAAAGAAGAGGATATAATGGATTGATTGATACAGGTAAACAGCGTTTAACTGTTTTATTGTTTTATTAAACGACGTACATACAAGCCATTCCGAATGGGTCACGATTAGCAGTGGGGTTGGCGAACATTTTAAAGCATAAAGGAAAATTTAAATAGTTTTAAAGCTGAAATAATGTGTTTCCAAACAAAAAGGTTCCCTAAAGATTGGTTCCTTAAATTTATTTCATTTATTTAGCACACGGGACGGGTACATAGAAGGGGGGGGGGGGGCTTAACCAACAAAATAAAGGTAAACACCAATTTTCAATGCTATATTATGTATATATTTGCAATAAAAAGGGTGGCTAAAGCCTATGTATTATACTTGAATTACAGTAGAAATAAATAGATTTACTTGTTATGTACTTGCTCTAGTCTATCCAGAAATAAAAATGTCAAATATTACTTCTTTCATGTAAACAGGGATGTATACACTATTATGATGTATATATTCAATTTCAATATAACTCGTATAGCCTTATGACTCCCTTCCCGAATACTCTTACAATTATGAGACAGACTTTTTTTTCTTTCTTAAAATAGGAATTAGAAATAGGAATATTTTTAATGAAGGCATTTGTCAGATAGATCGATCTAACATTGTCTCCAAAAAGGCAATGACTGGGTCCATAGGACATTCATCCTTCAACGATAGAATATTTTATCTACATTTGTCATCATATTTTATAGGGATCCAGCAGATATGGAAAAAGGGACAACTCTTCAACTGAATGTGTCATCCATATACCGGTATAGATCTGTTCTGTTCATGAGGCATACATACTGTAAATGTACATGTATTACATTTGGTGTGTACAATATTTGGTGGAAATTCAATTTTCAACAAGTTATCATACTATTAGATATCTGAATGTGCTAGTTATTAAATTCATATACAAGAGATTTAGTGATGTACTTGGATAGGCGGACTATGTTTTCCACTAAATAAAATATATGGCTAAATGTAATATGTTTACATTATGTATAGTATATCATAATTGTTATACTCATGAAGAGTGTGACAACTTCCAAGTAGTTAATGATGGAATTTATTTTCTTTTGTATTGGGTAAATTTTGGGCTGCTCTTTTTTCTTTCTTCATTATCAAACCTACTAGTTCATTTATTTATCAAATTCACGAAAGCTCACATACAATGATAAATAAATTAAGTTGAATGAACCATAATACTAGTTAAGTTTGGCACATACTTTCTTTTTAAATATCAAATTTGATTGGTAAAAACATTTGTTTAATAACAATTACTTTTATCCTTCGGTGTGCCTAATATTACATCCCCATGATTCAAAATGCATGTTGATAGGTACATGTAACTTCTCCATAAAAATAGCTAACTGTGCAGAGTGTTTGCACACTTGTTTCAACGAATGACATTTTCTTAAAAATACTTCAGTGTAACAAGACAAATATTGCATGTTTATTTTGATACACTATACATGAACTTGAGAAAAAAATTAAGGAAATTGACATTGTATATTTGCTAGTTACTTGTGTAATTAGTTATATATTTAGGATGTACACAGGCATAATATATCACTGTTAATATTTGAGAAAGTATTCATTTTTTGTGTAGATGCTCACTTCCACTTTAATACATTTGCCAGGTTCTTGTGAAAAGTGTTTTATTTGGCACCATTCAGCTACAAATACCCAATGTACGTTTTGCCGGTGGAATTGTGACCTCAATCAACTGCTCATGACACTGCTAAATGGCAGAGAATTTTCTTCTGAGAGAAGCAAATTGTTTCAAACATTTTACACTTGCAGGTTAATACTTATAAAATTTTGTTTGAAGGAAAATAAAGGCTAACAAGATCTGAAAATACAAGCCAGATGTAGTAGTACTACAAAAGTGTTGATACAAGTCATTTAAAATTTTCATTTCTTTGCAGGTAGTGATGAGTGCAACAGTTTTTATCAGGATCTCGTCCAACATCATAGGTACAACTGGTCACTGTGATTTCTTAAATAAGAGGACATATTGTAAAGGCGCCTAGGCGGTTACATATGTACATGTGGCTCCAAATGATGCTTGACTGTTTTCCTTCACTTTATACGTAAACCTGGATTGGTCTTTGATGCAGTAATATAGAGCCATGTCATGTTTTAAATCCCATCTTCCCACTGTCACAAAGTGCTGAAATAAAATGATTTTGATTTAAATATATATTTTTTGTTTTTATAAAATGTAACAAAACATTTTACAGAAATTAAAATATTGTACAAGTGGAAATTTTAGCGAGATCATGATGCAAATTTCGTAATTTGTCCTTAAAATTTGGTATTTTCTTTTTAGCGAGAAGTAATTGTAGCGATTTTTAAAAGATTACTAACTTTATAATATTTGTATATAATTTTCATCAACATAATTATTACACCTTAAACACATTTAATTTTCAGTGATATTCAATTTTAGCAATCTCAGAAACCTAGCTGATAATGCCTCGCTAAAAATTATGCTTATACGGTATTAAAACTACCAATTAAATAAGTATCTTAAATGAAAATCTTTTGAAGGTTTTGCTTGTCAATTCTTTGCTGATAGGGTTACTTACCTTTAATAATGTCATGACAAGTGAGGCACATAGCTGGTCTTCACGCTGGATGAGTTCTTGATCAAATCAGTGATGTCCTAAGATTTCCAGATAAGCTGACAAAAACCTGTAATTTAGCAAACTTCTGTAAAATGTCATTCGAATTATTGCACAGTTGTTCCAGTATGCATTACTGATAATTTAGGTGTAATGAGTTATAAATCTGGTAAATATCCATTTACTGGATATTTACTACAAATCTTAACCTTCTTCATTAAATTTTATCAATATTTTTACAAGAAAAACAGACTAAAATTGTCCTTTTTATACCAAAAAATGTCTAAGGCCTTTTCATACAAAAAATTTGATTTAAAAATATTTGTTTTACACACTGTATTTTGAACTATTTTCATATCTAGAGTGCCCCTAATAAGGCCAACAACAACAAAATGATTTGTTTGAAGTACTCAGCCTTACCCATTAAAATCTGCCCTACCATTAGTAATCATTTTTTCAGCACTTCAATTTTTTTTGAAAACTTCAACAGATTTCTGAGTCTGTGATTTTTAATATGACAGTTATCAATGTTTTTCAATACTGTAAGGCAAAAAAAAAAAAACCCTACCAACTAATCTGGATAGTCTGGATACAAACACATATTTAATGATGGCCAATGTTGACAAGTTTATTAGTCATTTTATAAAAAAAAAATTCAATACATGTATATATATTATTATTCATTTAAACTGTATACAAGGGTTTCATCCCATTTTAATACTGAGGTGATTACGTTGCACACTGTGGAACATATGAGACCATTTAAACTTTGTCACAGGTACTGGCATGAAGAATATCCCTCACTGCTTAAATTGACAATCTATGGCTCCGAGTATAGGACAAAATTTACATCCCTCCACCATCAAGTGGGTGCGTCTCCATACAAGTGAAAAATTCTTGAGAGGGAAGTTAAACAACAATCAATCGATTAACAGTGAAGTGAGATGACAGTATAGATGAATCATGGGTAAATGTCTAAAAGAATACCCTGGGGTGGGGCGAGGGTAATGCATTACTGGACATCCATAACCTTTTTGTAATATTTTGATATACTATGTCTTATGAAAATAAATTCTATATATATGTCCTAGAACTTATTCTGTTGCATCTGATCAATTTCATACCTGTATTTGATTTGCATTTTTAAGGAGGCTGATCATTCAAGTCAGTTTAGTCTTATGTGCTTGACTGGATCTTTCAGCAACAGCATCTTTCATCTTTGTTACTGCCTGGTTCTCTTGTACTTCTGCTACAAAATAAGTTTTAATGTATATAATTGCATGAGATCGATGAATAAATAAAGAGGAGAAAATGCAGAGGACCAGACCGGGATTTGAACCCAGGCCCCCTGAAACTCCGGTCAGGTGCTCTACCAACTGAGCTATCTGGCCACCGGCGATCGAACCCGGCTGACCGCCACATTCATCCCTCCTTAAAGGTCTTTAGACCCCAACCCAGGCTCATCCCTGGCAGGTCTTTCACCTGTCAGTTCCAGGGCATGGCACAGCACCAAATGTAGTAGGAAAGGAGAAATGCACGAAGAAAACTTTTGGCTGGAATGGGAATCGAACCCGGGACCCCTGTATCAGGTCCCCACAATACCCCGATAAAGGTATATAGCTTGATAAAGCTATATAGCTTTATTAAGGTATTTAAAATACCTTGATCAAGGTATTTTATGGAATGAAAATTCAAAAAAATTCTTTCAAAATTAAATACTGAAAGTCGAGTTCTGAGTTTTTGTCAGTGTGTCCACTCATGCATGAAAAACACTCTGGTATCAAAAAGAAAGCATAAAATAATGTCTCCTCACATGACACGTTTTTATACTGATTTGTTTATGTTTGAGCACTTTACATGCATGGGTGAATTTACTGACAACAACTCAGAACTCAACTTTCAGTAATTAATTTTTAAAGAATTTTTTTGAATTTTCATTACATAAAATACCTTGATCGAGGTATTTTAAATACCTTGATAAAGCTATATAGCTTTATCAAGCTATATACCTTTATCGGGGTATTGTGCTGGATCTGTGTATTACTAGTCAGGTGTCTAACCACTGAGCTATCCAGGCTGATATCCACGGTCCATAAAGCCCGAACTTCTACACATGTATGTTTATTGTATTGAAGTGATTTGAATTTTGTTAAATGTTGAATGCAGCGAAATACTTCAAATAGCAAAATATAATTATATGAACATCTTATCTTTGGGAAATAGATCTAAAATAGGTGATCCAGTGACACACAACAGGTAAAACTTTATTTAAAAAAAATATATTTACCGATGCAAAAGTGATGCATGCAGGCTCCACAATATGACGTTTGTACCCATCGGACACTGACAAAACTTCTCCTCTATAATTAGCTGATAATAACATTATCGTCCTCGAATTCGAGAAAAATCTGTTAACAAATTTAGGCGAAAGATGATTATGAATCTATTTCATTCGGGTATAAAGTAAAACACTTCATTTTCTCTCAAAATAAACAAGAAACAGTTGACATTCTCTGATTGTTTACCTGTACTTCGATCGAATTTTTCCTGGTGGACACTCGCACCCAAGCTTTTATGACACGCAACTCATCCATCGTAAGTCGGAGAACCCTTCTGCTTTGTATAACTACTTAACTTTTCCTCAAAAGCTTTGTATAAACCAGAAACATGCTTAACTCAATACACAGTTCCTCGTGTCAGGTACCCGGAAGTGAAAATTATCGTAGAATCTCGCGAGTCACGTGACGAGACTTACAGACCCTATTAATCCAGTGTTCTTGAGAAGTCAAAAATATGAACAGTTTTTAAAGGGATGTAAACAGACTGAGGATGCTGAACAAAATTTGATCAGGAAAGCTTGCTTGAGCTTTCAGCATATGTGAGCTTCATATAAAAACAGCTTTTTATTTTAATTTATTTCAAAAATCACAACCAACTTCCCCAAGAAATGATTTTACATTAGTCATACAAACCTGATCATGGCCTGTGACATTTCTTCCATCTGGGCAGGTTGAGGTCGACCTTTAGGTGCTGGGTCGGAATCGAATATGACCTGGGCAAATGGGTGTTTCCATAGCTACAATGTAAAGTAGAACATATGTCTGATTCTATTCCCAGCAATTTATTTTGCAGTGATACTTCACCATTTGTTAACTATTGGAAACTCTTCATATGTTAATTGAATATGTGGTTGGTCAACAGGAAAAATACATGTATTATAACATACTCCTTTTATAATTAACTTACATCAAAGTCTGGGAACACAGGCAACACTTCGACTGGGGTCACACCAGGCTTACTGTAGTGTTTAGTAATCTATAAATAGAGAAAATAAAACTTGGTTCCTTTTTTAAAAGTTAAAATCTTTATAAGCATGTATCTCAATGCATGAGCTTATTTTCAAATACATTTACTGGCATTACTGTATGTCAAAATTAATATTTTGTATCTATTGTCTTAGTGAAAACAGCATCCTCACCTCTTCCTTAGCTTGTTCAAATGTTTTGTCAATGGCCTGTATCTGACTCGCTCTATCTTTGTAAATGTCTTCATCTTTCATAATCTGTTTTATCTTAAATCCAACTCTACAAAACAGATTTTATTTTTCAATAATTTACTACAATAAACAATTTATGATCTCCGTTAAAACTCCAAATAGATTTCTGCTGCAAATATGGATATATTTCTAAAATACTATGTCCAATAATTTTTCCAGTAACCATGGTAACAGATTTCAAACATGCACTTACTTCATTGGTGTGCACAAAAGCATGTATTCAAATGAATTTGATAAGTAAATTACTTACTTTCTTTCTGAGTTATCAGATTTTTGTGTAAATCTGTTGTATTCTGTGGAGATATATTCAGTTTTTCGTAACCAGGATACATTTGTATTGTGATGTCGAGATCTGCAAAAAGACAAACAATATGCTAATTAGAATCAGATTTACCCCTTTAATAATTACCAATATTGATCTACCCATTCTATGTATACTGAGGATAGTCTAGGAGAAACTTAAATCACTCAAACCTCTTGGAATCAGTGGGTGTGTTGAGGTCTTCTTCCAATAGTCTTTCATCTTCTGGGTCCAAATACACTGAAATTACAATTTATTTACCATGTACAGCTTTAAACCCACACAACCCAAGGCTTTTATTTTTATCAAACTATTTTCATATCAGGAAGCATGATTGATATATATTTTTTAATTTTAAGTACATATACAAGACTGAAAAAGATGACTATTTTATCCTACAACTGTCTTTTTAGTACACTTTGTCTGCATTTAAAAATTAATTAATATGTAAATTGTAAATTGTAATAGCAATAATTTATTTCAATCATGGATTTTCTTACATAACCATGCAATTATGGATCTTTCCAAAAATGTTTCCCATGTCAGTAAAGTGCTTTTGTTTATCTTCCTTACATGAACATAATATGCAATGAAAATTTAAACACAATAAATATAGCAGACCTCCTGGTTCTATCCTGTAAGTGTCCGGGTTAATCAAGTCAATCGTGACACCAAGGTCATGCTCAGTTAAAAGGTCATATTTATAGCTGCGCTC